ACAATTTAATATCTGATTAGAATTTTGAATGTTGTCATAAAGCAGAATAAATTCTCAAAATTTATTTTGACTAAATCAAAAGGGTCTTGTAAAAACGAAATTACACACATGTACTGATATTAAACCAAAAACCAAACTCACTGCTGTCGTCTTTATAAAGTTTTAAGTGAAACTATCAAATAGCCAAAGTTCTTTACTTTAAATGAGCTCCCCAATCCTAAGCAAATCGGAAACTGTTTCCACAAGTTGAAAAATGTTAACTAGACATAAAACAACATACATTTGTTTGGCATACACACTGTATTCTAGAAAACCTTTTAAGTGTGACTACTTGAAAATATTTCAGAATTTAAGTAATGACACAGAAGTGTTAAAAAATTAATCCATCGTATTTCTGGTAGGAATTAAGTGCACAGCATTCTAACCCTAGACAAATGCATGGCTCATCTTCAGTCTATGCTTAAATATCTCATCAGTGAAACTTTCCCAAGATGATGCTGTTAAAAACCATCTTCTTCTCCTAACCCCTCCCACCCACTGACAATGAGTCATTCCAATTCACAATGACCCTTCAGAACATAGTAGAACTGCCTGCGTCATAGGGTTTCCAAGGCTGTAAATCTTTATGGAAGCAGAGGACCTCATCTTTCACCTGCAAAGTAGCTGGGGGGTTTCGAAGGGCTGACCTTTTGGTTAGCAGCCACACGCCTTAAGTATTGTGCCACCAGAGCTCCAGGGCTCTCTGTTCTCCTTCTTTATTTCCCTCTGTCCCAACAGCTCTGACATACTACATGTTTTGGTTATTATTATTTTCTCTCCACTAGAATGTAAGTTCCATGAAGATGCTTAGAACAATATCAGTAGATGCTCAAAAATATGTAGTGTAAAAATGAATGAACAAATGAACACATATTTAAACTATGCTATAATAATTATATACTTTTAAAAACTTATAACCTCGAAGGTTTGCTTTTATCAGTCATTCTGATATACAACAAAATTGTGAGAATAAATTATAAGCCTACAAGGCAAACACATTAAGTCATACCTAAGAAAACGATAAAATATTAATCTTGGCATAGTATAGATTCTCATGAACTTGCTGCTTGGGGGCAGAGATGTTTATGAAATTTGAAATACATATTTAATCTTTATATACCCATAAGACAAACTAGGTGTACATCAACTGAAAAACTTACCAATGAGAAAAACCATAAATGGGAAATAACTTTTTATTATGCTTGCCATATTTTACTTTTTTAAATTATAAACTTAACAAGGGATTTTTCCCCTCTCATTTCTAGAAGGAAGCCTGGTGGCACAGTGGTTAAAGTGCTTAGCTGCTAACTGAAAGGTTGCTAGTTC